CATCACTTAGGCTGTCAGAAGAAAAACAGTACTGCTGGTGGTCCCTCCTCAGCTCCCTGCCAACTGCTTTCTCAGGTGCCATGTCAAAACGGAATCTCTGGTTCCAACCACAAAACCAAGATGGAATGTTTGGCTTGGGTTACTTCAGTGACCAGGCCAGGGAACCACCAAACCACGTGGGCAGGAGTCGTGGTCCTTGATTAGAGGGGTCTTTAGTAAAAGCAATACCTGCTTCGACTTCAGCCAGGAGGGGTGAGTCAATAGCACCTCTCCAGGGAAGGCAGCTTGGGTGACAGTGATCTCTGATCCAGGATGGGTCTTCCTTAGCTGGTGACTAAGGAAAAAGTGTTCAACTGAGGCCCAGAGCTCTGGATGCTAGTCCCTTCTCTTCTCTGGGCACCAAGGCATATGGGGTTGGCTTAGGTCAGAGGGGCACGTGCTAAGGCCAAGTAGGTAATAGAATAGATTGCTCAGGTCTATCAGCCATCACATAGCTCTCTTGGTCTGGCTCTCCCTTAATTAAGAGAAAATCGTGGATTCAGAGAGGTAGGGGGAGAGGGCTGTGGTGGAGCCAGCTCACAACTTTGAGAATTAAAGTCACCTTTTTGTTGTGGTGGTTGTTTTTGAGGTGGAGTCTCCCTCTGTCACTCAGGCTTAAGGGCAGTGGTTTGATCTTATCACTGCAATCTCTGCCTCACGGGTTCAAGCAATTCTCCTGCCTCAGCCTCCTAAGTAGATGGGATTATAGGCATGTACCACCACGCCCAGCTAATTTTTTATTTTTGCATTTTTAGTAGAGTTGGGGTTTTGCCATGTTGCCCCAGCTGGTCTCAAACTCTTAACCTCAAGTGATCCACCCACCTCGGCCTCCTGAAGTGCTGGGATTTCAGGGGTGAGCCACGGCGCCTGGCCCTGGAGTCACTTTTCAAAAAACTGACTTTCCACATGTTTTGGAGAACCAAGAGGAGACGGTATAGCTTGTGAACTGCATGAGTTCCTTTGTATGAAACTTTCAGAGTAGCAGGGGAGTCTTACGGGGCTAAAGCAGGCGGAAACACAACTGAAAATGACAAGGGGAAATCTTACCAGCATAAAAGCCAAGTTCTGCATTTAAGTTTAAAGGAAGATGAACCCTATGAAGCCAGGATACATTGCAGGGAAGGGGACAAGAAGGCAACTGAAGAAACAAAATTCATTTCCCTAATGAAGAAACAAAAAAGAAAAAAAAAAAAAAAACATTGAGAGCAAACAGCATACACTATAAACACCAACTGAACATTCTGGAGAAAGTGGGTCTTGTGGTGAGCTGACCAAAGGTCCAGCTGCCTTCATGGCAGTCAGAGCACAGCTCAGGAGTAGGCTCTAAGTCAGGCAAGGGCACTGACACTGTCCAGGGAGAGGTACAAGGCTGAGGACCATTCTGTGGTGCCACTAGGAGGAAGATGCAGCTCTGAGAAAAGTAAAGAAAAGGTGTGCTGAGGAGAGGGTGAGCTGGCTGCCCTCAAATATGCACAAGGCCCTCAGGTGCAGGAGGACAGCAAATCGGGGCAGTCCAAAAACACTGCCTCTCATCACAAGACCTCACCCCCGCCCATAACAGGAAGTGTGGGCTCAGACGGAAGGTGGTAAGGTAACAAAGGAGGCACCGGACCAAGCACAGTGGCTCACGCCTGTAATCCTGGCACTTTGGAAGCCCAAGGCAGGTAGATGATCACTTGAGGTCAGGAGTTCGAAATCTGCTTAGACAACATGGTGAAACCTTGTCTCTACTAAAAATACAAAAATTAGCCAGGCATGGTGGCTGAGGTAGGAGAATCACTTGAACCTGGGAAGTGGAGGCTGTAGTGAGCTGAGATCAAACCACTGCAATCCAGTTTGCTCGCCAGAGTGAAACTCCATCTCAAAAAAAAAAAAAGAGGCACCAGGTGGGCCTGGTTGGTCTCAAAATTGCCACCACTCCAGGTCAGGTGCCATGGTTCACGCCTGTAATCCCAACACTTTGGAAGGCTGACAGACTGACCTCATGAGCTAAGGAATTCATGACCAGCCTGGGCAACATGGCCAAACCCCAACTCTACAAAAAACACAAAATGTAGCCAGACTGTCGTGTGCACCTGTAGTCCTAGCTACTCAGGAGGCTGAGGCATGAGAATCGCTTGAGCTCAGGAGGCGGATGTTGCAGTGAGCCAAGGTCATGCCACTCTACTCCAGACTGGGCAACAGAGGAAAACCCTGTCTAAAAAAAAAGAAAAGAAAAAGAAAAACATTGCCCCCACTCCAAGTCTCTAGGGCAGTACATATCAAACCTATTTGCTTAGGAATCACCTGGGATCTTATTAAAATGTAGGCTCTAATTCAGCAGGTCTGAGCTGGGCCTGAGATTGTTCACTTCTAGTGGGTGTGTGTGTGTGTGTGTGTGTGACCGAGTTTTGCTCTTGTCGCCGAGGCTGGAGTGCAGTGGTGCGATCGCGGCGCACTGCAACCTCTGCCTCCTGGGTTCCAGCAATTCTCCTGCCTCAGACTCCGGAGTAGCTAGGACTACAGGGCGAACCACCCCACCGAGCTAATTTTTTTGTATCTTTAGTAGAGACGGAGTTTCACCATGTTGATCAAGATGTTCTCCCTTTCCAGACCTTGTGATCTGCCCAACTTGGCTTCCTAAGGTGCTGAGGTTACAGGCGTGAGCCACCGCTCCCAGTTGAGATTTTTCACTTCTCACAAGCTCCCAAACGATGCTATCATTGGTCACCTAGGAATAATTTTGGTAACTAGACGATAGCCCACTTTCAAGTCAGAGGAGAAGCTTTCTCTGTGGTCCAGCCTCCTAGAAGGGCAATCCTGGGGTCAGAGTGGCCCACAAGCTACAGCAGCCCCAAGGAAGAGAATGGTGGCTTAGGAGAGAGTGCTCTCCTGGAGATATACACGAATTTAACAAGTGGGAGTCTCCCAGTAAAAGTTTTCTTAGGGGAAAGGAGGGAATCAAGCTGTAGGTGTTGGCTCCCTAAAACAATTCAGCACCTCAGAATTAGCTCCCAGCAACAGAAACCAACGTCCTCTTGTCTCACTTCTCTAGATTCAATCAGCTCTGCCCCATCCACTCCACAAAAGCTCTCTGCCCTGTCTTCCTCTAAGGGAGAGGTGACTGCAGACTGGGAGACTCCCCAGCTGTGACTCAGACCGACGGAATCAAATCTGTTCCCCGAGGCTCGGCATTCACCAAACCCGGACCTCCCGCTCTGCCCGGCCCCACCTCTCACTCCAGAGGCCATCCCGCCCCCCTACCCAGTCTCTGGCTCATCTCCAGATGTGTCCCCAACTCCCAACCCTTCCAAGCGCAGCCGAGTTTCTCGGTCCCCGTCGCCTCGATATTCCCACAGCATCTGTGTGGTCTCTCTTTCTAAAAAGTGTGCCCCGTATCTCAGTTTTACGGAAGGTCCCCGGAAGGTGCCTCGACTGGCCCTCTCGGATGCTGAGGTCCTGTCAGCGCCCCTTTGTCTCCCCGTGCGGCGCCGAGCGCAGTGCTGGACGCACAGGAAGTGCTCTGAAACAGGCTGGGGCGGGGGCGGCAGCAGTGCCCGGAGGGGGCGCCCAGAACACGGGGACTCGGCCGGGCCGAGTGCTGTTCCCCCCAAAGAACAAGAGTCACCGGGACGGGAGCCAGGAACCCCGAGTTCAGCCCTCAGAACCAGAGTCAGGCTGGCCGGGGCTGGGACTGGCGCCCCTTCCTTCCGGAGCCCCTCGGCGCGCGCCCGGCCACCCACCTCCGCGCCCTCACCTTGTAAACCTTGCCGAAGGCGCCGTCGCCCAGCTCGCCCACGATCTCCCACACGTCGTTGGGGTCCAGGTCGCGGCGGACATGCTCGTATTCGCGGGACTTTCTCTTTTCGAAGGTAGACAGGCGCAGGATGCGGCGGAAATTGGCGAAAGCCATGGCCAGGGGCGCGGTGGCGCCGGCTCAGGCTCGGGCTCTGGCTGTTGCTCTGGCGGCAGCGAGGAAGAGGAGGAGGAGGAGTTGGAGGACGCCGCGGCTCTCGGGGTTCTCCCCAGATCCGCCCTTCCCCGCAGCCCGACCTCGATCAAGTGCGCTTCGGGCAGCGCCGCGCCTGGAGCACCCGGAACCGCCCAGGCGGCCGCGTCCCCGCCCCCGCCCTGTCCGGTCCCCGGGGCCGCCTCCCTCGTGCCGGCCCCGCAGCCCCGGCCGGCCCTGCCCGCGAGAGCCCAGGACCCGTTCCGGGGGACTGTCCCCTCGCCCGCCCACCGGCCGGGCTCCACCTGCATCTCCCCGGCAGCGCCCCGAGACCCCCTAATTGGCTGCGGGTGCTCCCTGGCTCCGCCCGTCGCCGCAGGGCACCCTGGAAACTGTAGTCCCCGCATACACCGCGCCGCGAGCCGCGGGCTGGGCTTTAGAGAAGCTTCGGGGTTCGCTGGGTGTGACCGCTCGAGGTCTCAGGAGCCCTCCCGCCACGCCGCGTGACTCCCAAAACTTTTGTGGGAGCGAGCGGGACGGCGACTTGGCATTTCGCGAGCGCCCACGGATCGCAGTCAGCTCCCAGAAGGTGAACCTGCACTCGTTCATTTAATCCTCCCGCAGCTGTCCCGCGAGGCTGCCCTCGCCCCCACTTTAACGATGGGGACGCCAGCGGGCTAGGGCACTCGCCCGGGGCGTACACCCCGGCTTCCAGTCCGCTGCGGGTTCCTCGGCGCGGTGCTGCCTCCTAGTGTGCGATGGGGAGCGCCCGGGCAGCCGCCGCGAGTCCCTGCAGGCCCGCCTTTCCAGGGGCTCCCCTCCGCGATCCGCAAACCTGCCAGGATTAGAGGGCTGGGAGAAAGAGCTCCCTTGGCACTGATTTATCTTTACTTCATGATGGGTTTGCAGATGTATTTGCATAGTAAATACTTTATTTTAATTTTTAATTTCCCGGTTTCAAAATAGATGAGTGCACTACATACAGATCAAACTCAAGTCTTCTTTGAGCACCTTCATCCTGGATCCCGGCCCCTTGAGCCACTTCACTGCTACTGTTGCCTGTATGTGCTCTAGATGGTTGTAACATCCTGAATCTACGGAGAGGGCGGAGGGACAGGCAGTCTGCAAGGTTTATTTTGGGGACCCTCTCTCATAAACTAATTGAGTCTTTGCTAATGCCACACTTCAATATCCCCAACCCCAGAGAACGGCCATGGTGATGTATTTTTGCCCCTTCCTCGATGCTTTGTTCGAAAATATCCCTTGAGCGGTGTGCAAACACCAAGCACGGTTTTCCACTGGAAAAGCCAGCTAAAGAAGCCTGCGATGCTGGTAGTGGTCGGCGCAGAGGGTGTCCTGGCCGTCCAGAATGCTTCCACAGTTGAGGAGTGCCTGGAATTGTAGAGTGTCTTTATCTCTAAAGGAAGGAAATGCCACTCAACGCTGACTGTTCTCATTGAGTCAAGCGCTGTCTGAACCTCCCAGGACATGCTGAAAGACAGGTCTTTCATTTGTTTCAGAACATTTAGCCAACTATACGAAGGCGGTGGGGAGACCAAGAAGGTTGTTTCCATGCTAGGAGATGAAGGCTCTGACTTCCTAGAATGTTGTAGGCCTGGAGGGCTCTGAAGGTCAGAAGACTCTGACAAGCTCTGAGAGCTTCCAGGAGGGGTCGTGGGAAGGGGGGAGCCGGGCACCATGGGTCATGCCTGTAATCCCAGCACTTTAGGAGGCCAAGGCGGGCAGATCATGAAGTCAAGAGATCGAGACCATCCTGGCCAACATGGTGAAACCCCGTCTTTACTAAAATACAAAAATTAGCTGGGCGTGGTGGCGTGCGCCTGTAGTCCCAGCTACTGGCACGGCTGAGGCAGGAGAATCACTTGAACCTGGGAGGCGGAGGTTGCAGTGAGCTGAGATCGCACCACTGCACTTCAGCCTGACGACAGAGTGAGACTCCGTCTCAAAATAAATAAATAAGAAATAAAAATAAAGAGGTTCATTCAATAAAATTAAGTGAAAGAAGCCAGACACAAAAGGCCCTGTGTTCTACAAATTCCCATTTATATGAAATGTCTAGAAAAGGCAAATCCATACTGACAGAAAGTAGATTAATGGTCGCCTGGAGCTGGTGTGAAATGGGAATTAACTGTACATGAACAATAAACAGTCTAATTGGGGTGATGAAAATGTTCTAAAACTGTGCAGTGGTGACAATTTCATAACTTGGTAAATTTGCCAAAAATAACTGAATCGTAAACTTTCATTTTTGTTAATGGATAAATCTTATGTGTAAATTATACCTCAGAAGCATTGTAAGAAACACATTGAGGTTCAATAGAATTAATGCTACTTCTTTGAAATAACTAATAGACAGACTAGTCAAAGGACAAAAAAAAAGGGCTGGGCGCTATGACTCACGCCTGTAATTGAGGTACTTTGGGAGGCCAAGCTGGGTGGATCACCTGAGGTCAGGAACTCAAGACCAGCCTGGCCAAAACAGCAAAACCCCAGCTCTACTAAAAATACAAAATTTAGCTGGGCAAGGTGGTGCGTGCCTGTAATCCCAACTGCTTGGGAGGCTGAGGCAGGAGAATCACTTGAACTCGGGAGACGGAGGTTGTAGTAAGCCAAGATTGTGCCACTGCATTCCAGCCTGAGGAACACCACAAGACTGTCTCAAAAAAAAAAAAAAAGAAAAGAAAAAGAAAAAAGAATTGGTGAAAGAAATATTCACTGGAAGAAACAAAAATGAAAAGGGAACATAATATTAGATACTGTAGATATTTTGAAAATCACAAAGTGATATTTTAGACAAATTTATGTAAATACATGTTTTAATTTACATGAAATGGGTAATTATTGAGAAGAAAATATAAATGATAGGTGAAAATAACTTCAATAAGAAATAAAAACCAGGCCGGGCACAGTGGCTTACGCTTGTAATCTCAGCACTTTGGGAGGCCGAGGCAGGAGGATCGCAAGGTCAAGAGATCGAGACCATCCTGGCCAACATGGTGGAACCCCGTCTCTACTAAAAATACAAAAAAATTAGCTGGGCATGGTGGTGCGTGCCTGTAGTCCCAGCTACTCAGGAGGCTGAGACAGGAGAATGGCTTGAACCGGGGAGGCGGAGGTTGCAGTGAGCTGAGGTTGCGCCACTGCACTCCAGCCTGGTGCCTGGTGACTGAGTGAGACTCTGTCTCAAAAAAAAAAAGAAATAAAAACCTAGCCGGGCGTGGTGGCTCATGCCTGTAATCCCAGCACTTTGGAAGGCTGAGGCGGGCGGATCACCTGAGGTTAGGGGTTTGAGACCAGCCTGACCAATATGATGGAAACTTGTCTTTAATTAAAAAAAGAAAAAAAAGAAATAAAAACCTAAATAAACCAGTAAGCAATAAAGAAATCAAATCAAGAATAAGCCCAGGCACGGTGGCTTATGCCTGTAATCAATCCCAGCACTTTGGTAGGCTGAGGCAGGTGGATCACCTGAGGTCAGGAGTTCAATGCCAGCTTGGGCAACATGGTGAAAC